TCTCCTCTCCTCTCCTCTCCTCTCCTCTCCTCTCCTCTCCATGATCTGCACATTTCCAGTCTCTCTGCTGTCCATGGTGATCCATTATGGATTTGGAAGCGATGCTGTCTTCTTGAAAAGAAGGAGCTAACAGATGGCATGAGAGGAGCCATGGGATCCTGTCAGTTTGATTTTTCAGGAGAAAACTTTGGCTACACATCCAGCCAGGAGCCACAGGCACAATCCCAGGAAGCAGGGAGCAGTCCCAGCAGCAGCGTGCAGACACACGGCAAGAGCCCCTCCATCACATCGAGGCACTGACCTGTGGGGAAGCAAAAGCCTGTTTGTTACCATGCCTGTGTTTTGTGCCAATTAGGAGGCAGTTACACTGAAAAATGTCTCTTTGATGTAAATCTCTTCAGGTAGTGAATGTTAAACACCACGCACCGCTGGGTAGGTGTATGATTTTGCAGGATCGGAGCCCGCATGCAGGAGTAATTAGCAAGACTGTGCCAATCCTCAGTCCATGCACTGGACTGCTGGGCCTGATGCTACGGCTGCACAGTGGGATATCGTAATTAGCAGAGATGCAACACGCAGAATAATTGGGAGGATAAGGAAATGACACTGAAGTTTATATAAGGGGAAAATTTCCTTAGATCTAGACAACCTCGTGCCACCATGAAACTTTTGGCTCTTCTTTGGCGTGGGTGTGCCAGAGCACAGCCATTAAAAGGTGGCAATTTCGGTGTCACTGTGATGTGGCCATCATTACCTGGGGAGTGAGGAGGGACCAGGGGCTGTGCCCGAGACCCTCTGCTGGTGGGATGGACGGGGACAGGGATGGGGACAGGGATGGGGCCGGGAACAGGAATGGAGTCAGAGATGGGGATGGGGACAGGGATAGGGACAGGGATGGGGACAAGGATGGGGACGGGGACGAGAGTCAGGGATGGGGACAAGGGTCACGAATGGGCCAAGGGACAGGGTCAGGGATGGGGCCGGGGATGAGGACAGGGATGGGGACGGGGATGGGGACGGGGATGGGGAAAAGGTTCGGGGATGGGGCCGGGGATGAGGACCGGGATGGGGACGGAGATGGGGACGGGGATGGGGACAAGGGTCAGGGATGAGGATGGGGACACGCCATGGGAGCCCGCCCCGCCCCGGCACCGCCCCGGGGGCAGCGCCCGCTACTTTCGCTTTAAGTTTCACTTTCGCTCCCGGCCGGCCGGACCCAGCAGCAAGGCAAGCCCCGGGCCTTGCCCAGCCCTTCCCCTTCCCCTGCCCCCTGGCTCCCCCGGCCCCCTGGCTGCCCCCCTGCCCCGCTTTCCTCCCTTCGGGTGCGCGTTCCTCGCTGCGGCTCCGCATCCCGGGCAGCGCCCACGCTGCTCCTGGCACTGCCCGCGGCCTGAGCGCTCCGCTTCCTGTGTGTGTGTGTGTGTGTGTGTGTGTGTGTGTGTGTGTGTGTGTGTGTGTGTGTGTGTGCTGGGCAAAGCCGAGCCCAGACCCGCCTTTGGGAGCTGCTCTTACTCTCGGGGAGCTCCCAAATCTGCCAGCCCCGCTCCCTGGCCAGGTGGTGCAGCCGTGGAGCCGCCGGTGGCCCCTGAGCTGCTGCTGCTGCTGCTTCCGGGTGTTCGGGGTGGTGTTCGATGGAAACGTGTGTTCTTCTCAGTAAAAGCAATTTAATCTGCCTAACTATGGGGAAGGGGCAGGAATCAGTGCTGATTTCCTGGTGAAAGTCTGGCAGCAGAGAGCAGATGTTTGAGCGCATCCCACCCTGCGCCTTCTCTGCGGAGCCGGTGCACATCGGTGTGCTGGCCTTTCTTCTTGTCCCAGCTGCTTAATGATCCAGATTAAATTAAAACCAGCCATAGGAAGCGCACAGGACTCTTTCAGTTACACACAGGTGACTGTGTATATGCAAATGAAACACAGGAACCCTTGCTTTCATCCCAACATACTTCTTTCCAGACCATGGAAAACTTTCTGGGAAATTGCTTCTATGATGTGGACAGCAAACACGTGGACATGGCAGGATTCTTGGGACTACTTTGTGTAGCCAGGTGTTGGATTTTGATGATCCCAGGGGGTTCCTTACAACTCAGAATATTCTGATTCTATTTTATGATTGTATTCTATAATTCTGTGATCTTTCACCATGAAATTATTTCTAATTCTACTGTAATTAGTGTTTTTGAGAGTGGTATTAGACGAGTACCTTTAGGCAACTGCCACAAGGAAATAGAGATGGCTGAACTTGTGCAATGCCACAGCAATTCAGGACCAGAAATCTGTAGCCACTTTTCCTTAAGGAAGTATTATACAATGAAGCTGACTAAAAAAACCCTCACATGTATCTTCTATAAAGCAGACCATAAACAATCTGGTTCATAGAAGTATTTCTAAAATGTAAGTGCTCGCTGAGGGACGCTTAATTCTTGTACTTTTATTTGCAGATGTCAGAGGATCATCATGGTGATCTCCCTGCTGGGGAGGGAGGGGATGGAGATGGCTGTGATACAGTTGATGCAAGGCCAGACAGAAGCAGCAGATTTTCAGTTTTTAGAACGTAAGTTCCTACTTGTACTCCTGTTCTTGTTGTTCTGTCAGCTACCGTGGTATCCTTTTAATCAAAGAAACATAAGAAAGCTTGATGTTCAGTTTGCCATGTCCACAATGTTATTGATGGTCTGGATAGAAAGGTGGTTTATATTGTATGAATTTAATACATCTGGTCTGTATCTTAAAGCATTTCTTTATAGTGTCTCCCTATAGGGAAATTTATAACATCTCCTGTAAGTTTTATTTGGCAGCTAAGAGACCACCAAGTTCATTTAGCATCAATTATAGTCCCACATCTTAAACATTGACCTTTGCTGGAGCTGGGAATTGAATATGCCATTAATTATCTATTTTACTGCACTCAGCTGAGCTAATCTCCAGCATCACTGGAATCCCCTGCTGACTGTCTAAGTTACTTTAAAGCCTGGATGTGCCATCTAGGTTGTAGCACAAAGAAGCCTCACCAAGTCTAGAGATGTAACCCCTTACAGAACACATTAAAAGCCTTTCATTTTAAAGCACAGTAGTCTCACTGAAGCGTAATCTTACTTTCATTAAATCAGTGGGAAGCAAGAACTATTTACTGCTCATCTGCACTCCTGAAAACACTGGATGAATGTGATTGGAAATGCAAAACATGAAAAATAAGCATGCAAAGTTTATAAATACTGTTGAACGTCAGCAAACGGCTACTTCACATTGGATTTAGTAAGATTTTACAAGAGATATATATGCAAAGTCTGATGCATTTACAGAGAGGTTTTGATTTTTTTTTTACTATTGGAAATGTACATTAAAGTGAGCAGTATAATTCAGAGGCTATTTATTTTTGCTGTTTATTCTATGAGTTTAATAGGGGTAACAAATCTGTGAGAGAAGTGAAGATGCTTTAGTCTTAGAAGACTTTTGATGTGCTGTTAGCAAATCTCTGTACTTTGTCTCATTTTATCATTCCTCAAATGTTTCATGATGTGTATGAGTATTATTAATTTTAACAAATAGACAAATGTAACATTTGTTTCTAAATCTTGTCAAATATTTTTCAAAGGTTTCTTTCCAGCTTTATAAAATGTGTGTTTTGATATTTGATTTGGTCTTCTTTATAAGAGGTGATATGCTAATATTATTATTAAATTATGCAACTCAAAGTTAATAATTTCCAAAGAAAAGGCAATAATCAGCATTTCTATGACTTTTTTTCTATAAGAAAATTTTCAAATATTTGGCAATTCATCAGTTTGAGGCATTCGTCTTTTGGGAACTCCTTGAAGATGCAATTTGCAACATTTTTCTTCAGAAGTAAAAAATTACTCATTAATATTAAGTAATTGAGAGAATTCAACTTAGATTTTGTAGAAAAAAATACTTTTGAGAAATCTAACAGAGTCTGTTGGAGAAAGTAATGGTTGCTTAAAGAGGAATAAAGTGCTTGACAATTAAGGTATTTGTCTTTGTCCTGCAGAAACTAAAAGTCTTTGGTCTGAAGGAAGAGGAGAGGATTAGGAGAGAAATGTGAGAGGATAAAGGAAGATGGGATCTGATCTAAAACTATTATTGTAATAAAGGAGAAAGATGAGAATGATCATTCTTTGTGCCTCACAGGGAATCTAGGGAACATCCAATGAAAAGTTCATGCAGTTGGTTTAAAACAAGTGTTAAGGTGTAATTTTAACATAGAGCAGAATGTTACTGTAGAACTTAAAGCCAGGGGGTACCAGACGTCAAGAATTTAGGTAAATTCAGGAAAGATTAGATGTGTATGTGTGAAGAAAATTCCAGATGTTAACGTCTTTGGTGAAGATCTTGCTAAATCATATCTCTGTGAGAATATATTCTGTATCCATTTTCTTTTGTTTGCTTTCTTTAGATTCATTTCTAGTCAGTACCAGATATCAGCCTAGACGTACTTTTACTTGAACCAGTTTGGCTCTCTGTCTTGATTACCAAAGCTTCATTTTGGCAGCATGAAGTAATTCATCTTATAAAAGGTGTCTAGAAAGCTTTAGAGTGACTACAATTTTATTGTCTCTTTTTTTTGTTGTTTTTGTATCAGCTGTGCAGTACTCTCAATGAAATTCTTCACTGCATTTCATGTATTATTGCTTAATATATGCAAGTTCAATAGGAAAACAAGTAACTTGTGATGTTAAATAAGCACATTAATTTTAATTTGAGGGAACAGAGTAGTGAGAAGCTAAATTCAAAGCTGTGCAGAAAGACCAGCTGTTCCCAGTAGCTTCACAGCTTCAATTTTCCACTCTGGCTGTGACTGGAGATCTGCCTTGTCAGAGCAGTAACTAGAAGTAAATTAAAATCTTACTCACTACAGCATATTTCTCTCTGGGAAGTCTGTGAGCTTGCTTTACCAAGGAGGTCACAAGGCTCAGAACAAGCCAGGATGGGCAGATTCTTCTGGCATCTCAACAATTTAGGGGAATTATTATTCCTTCTCTTTGGAAAAGTGCTGATACTCAGCTAATGTTGGTGAGAAAAACTGTCCGGTGGGGAAAAGAGTTGGAAGAAGTTTTGGGTTAAATCTTCCAGCCGTGTTTGGCTCCGGGATTGTTTTTAGCCACTAGATGGCAGGAGGGTATTAATTTTGTCTACTGCAAAAAGAACAAAAAATGGGCTGTGTTGCAGCTGAAACACAACTTTCCAGAAAGCAGAAACATCAGGACACATTCTGGCAAGGCTGCACATCAAAAAAAGTTTAAAACATGTTTAAAGAAAGATTCATCTAAGGATTTCAAATGTGTATTTAATTTTTTTAGTTAACTAATTTTTCCCTTACAAGTTTGGGGTTTTTTACTTTGCTATGTGTGCTCCTTTAACGCTTTCAGGGCTTTAAATATAGTCTTGCTTCTCCACAGGACGATTTAATATCTTCATTTGATATCTTTTGTGTTTTGTTGGGGACCTCCATTAGGGAGATTGATAGCAGCAAATGCTTTTTAGTATCTGAGAAAGTTAATGTAACATGAAATAGAATAAAATTGCAGTTGCACTGTGATAAGTAGAGCTAAGATTTCTCTTAATCCTAATTAAAGTTGTTTTTTTGGAAAAGCTGCATCCAGAAATTCCCAAGGCTTTGTAGACTTGCATTTGCACTGTCAAAAATCCTGACTGCTCATGGGCTTCAGTGAAGAAACAATGCAGAAGTGCTTTGTTATTAGTAGTATCTAGGTACCAGTTTTATCCTAATTTAATTGTATAGGACCATTTGTCTTCTGGTTACTTTTATCTGCTCCAGCCCTGCTGTCTTGTTTTACAGTCAATATTCCCCTTCTCATCTGGAAGCAGAAAACATTATTTAAATATCTGTTTTTAAATCTTTATAAATAGTTACAAATGAAAGTGTGTGATTCCATAGTGCCCTCCATGCAGATACTGTAAGAAAATCCCACAGAGGAATTGGAGAGTTTTTGTGGGGCATGTAATCACCAAGAATATTTTAGCTGTTTAACACTGCAAATCCAGAATATCTGTAAGATATTTATTTCTGTCAAGTCACACCACTTTAAAGTTTGAGACTTTTGAGTAATTTGTGATAGTTATATTGTTTAGATATCTACCAGGTTTGTAAATTAGTATTTAGATTAAAAAGTTTCATGGATATATACCTTTTCTTTTCGTGTGTACAGTGTTTATTTGCAGGACATCAAAGTGGGGAAGCAAAGATGTTACCAAAGGCTGTCAATTTTAACTTCCTGACCCTTGTCTCAGTACCGCCGTATATCTCAACATAAATAACCTTGTCATTCAAAGAATAAATATTCATTTTTGAGATTCATCCTCAGCTGAACCTCAGGTCTGGAGGTGTAGAAAGTTGTCTTGGTATCAGCTAAGCTTTTCTGGTGTTCCTCTGTCTTTTGGGGGATCTATTTTCCTTCCACTTTACACAGAGGTTTTCCACATCACATTCATTCTGAATTAGAAGGGATCCACAAGGATCATTGAGTCCAGCTCATAAGTGCCTGTAAGGGGATTACCAGCAGCTTGTTTTTATACTGATTTGTAAAAGAAGCTGCTTTTCAGGGAGAAGTTTTATGAAGAACAGCTTCACAGTGACACAGATACATATGTTTTCCAGAGTTTCCATTCTGTTACACATTTTTCAGTTCAGAATATTATAGGTCTTTTGAAGTAAATATTGTTTAAAAAAGTAATTCTTTTATCCTTAGATAGACTAAAAATAGCAAGCTACTTTAAAGCAAATAACAGCTGATGAATCATTTTCTGAAGTCTTGTTCTGGGCTGCAACTCAAATGTCTGAGCTGACCTCCTGTTTCAGCCTCATGTTTCCTTAATGTCTCTAAGGAAGTCACTGTGTGCTGTAGTTTGTCCTGTAAATATGGGTGATGATCTTTCCTTTTACTGTCACAGCTCCAAAATCTGTCACAATATAATTTTAATTTTATTTGGAATTTGTTTTTTCTGCTTAGCACAAGGTAAATATCAATTGTTTTGTTCACCTGAAAGCACTAAATATAAAATTTCAGAAGTAACCTACAGTCTGGTAAAGTTCCTACAAAGACAATTCAGAGACTGTAACATGGAACAACAGGGATATTTCATTTTTATGATTTTTTTTTTCCTGTGAGAGGTGGTTTTGGTTTGTTTTGGGGTTGGTGTTTTTTGTTTGTTGTTTGCGCCAGGGGGTTTGGTGGGCTGTGTGTGTATGTGTGTGTTTTGGGGTTTTTTTTGTTGCTGTTGTTTGTTGTTGTTTTGTTAGATCTGGAACTCAGCTTCTGGAAAACACTGCAGGAATATTTAAGAATGAGTGGAAACTCTGGTCAGTGCTTGAACTTTCCCTTGGATGCTTACTGGACGTACCTCATAGGAAAAGCCCAAGTATCATGAAATTGTATCTAGTCTATATTACAAGAACTCATTGATTCACAGTCAATATTTGTTTCCAGTCTCCTTAGAGACTTTTTAATGTGAACAGCAAACACTGGGTTATCCAGGAGCTGTATCTGAAGTAATCACAGTCAAGTATCCTAATTA